GTGTACGTTTCGATTCTTGCACGGGACGTTTTACAAATATGCATTTGAATGAGCAGCAATAAGTGTTACATGATTCTAAGTTTTATATAACGATACCACCCAAATGTACTTAAGTAAAGATGCTCCGCAACCCTAAGACGATTTCGTCGCCTCTTGTTTTTACTCATTTCTCCTCGGTAACTCCATCCAGCTCAATCTCTGACCCCACCACCAGTCATGGCCGACCTCTCGTTCCAGGCGGTTGATGCCACGAGCGCTCCGCCAATGTCGGCACTGACTGACCCTTTGTGTTCGGAGTCCTCTCCCGTCGATCGCCTTTCGGACGACATACTGGGTCGCATATTCAGCTACGTTGAGCCCGTCGCTCATGGCGGAGACACGTCAGCGCCATGTTCGCAGCAGCAGTCGCACAGTCACCTTTTTTCGCAGCCACATCCCAAAATTGTTCCCCCCCGTACAATGTACCTATAGGTTCTGCTACAAGCAATTTACTCCATATAGCTCCGTATCTACAATATAGCAGAACCTATAAGTACATAGTAAGGGGGGAAAACAATTTTGTGAAGCAGCATCTAATCACTCCCAGCCATCCGTCGGCCAACGGCGCGATTCTTTTCATGATATTTCCGGAATTCCTAACTCTGGGTCAGATAATTGTGACGGGAGTTATGCGCTCGTCTGTCGCCGATGGTACCATGTCGCATGTGCGACCCGCTCGCACGTCGCACTGTCGCCTGAGCAACGCCTGTGTACCCGGCGATTCTTGAAGGGTGTCTCTTCGTTCCCGTCGCTGACGTCGATATTTCTGCCAGATGGCAGTCTCTCATTGGCCAACGATCACCTCCTCTCTCAGTTGGCTGCCACGTGTCCATCGCTAACTCACTTCCATCTCGGTACCATGGCCGAGCAAGTTAGCATTCGCGGAAGGCGCGTCGCGTCCACGTCATCTCGTCCTGACCACCGCGCCGCCTTCACTGAAGCCGGGCTCGCGTCGCTTTTCTCTTCCTGCTCGCGGCTCGAGTCCCTGGAGCTGCACTGCCCGCCAAACCTGACCGCTCTTCCTCCGCAAATCTGCGGGTTGACTCGCTTGACGGCGTTAAAAATCACCGCTCGGGGACTGAAACGCCTTCCCGACGGATTCCGTCAACTCTCCGCTCTCGTCAGTGTTTCAATCCACGCGGAAGCCCTAGAGAAGCTTCCTACCGGTTTCGCGACAGACATCGACGAGAATGTAGAGACCTCCGTTGCACCAAACGATTCGAGCATCTTAGACGCGAATGCAGCAGACGGAGGAATGGAGATCGTCAAAATAGTACCGTACTGCCGCAGGAGACTTCGCTGGTAACGTCGCTCGCTGGAGACTTCCCTGTCCAGATGGATTCCACGCTGGTTACTTCGCTCGCCTCTCTCTCCCTCGCACACCCTCCCTCTCCCGCACTCCCTCACCCCACGCTTTCCGCCCTCCGCCATCTCTCGATCTCCCGCTGCCGCGCCCTCCGCACGCTCCCCGCATCCCTCCCCGCCGCGCTCCCCCTTCTCGAAACCCTCGAGCTGCGCGAATGCGCCAAGCTTTCTGCCGTCCCCGTCTCCCTCCCCGCGCGCCTCCCCCGCCTCCGCGCGCTCACCCTCGCCTACCTCCCCTCCCTGCGCACCCCCCTCTCCGCGCTCCTCTCCGCATCCGCTCCCCCTTCTCCCGGCGCAGCGGCAGAAGCGGAAAACGGCGATTCCGGGGTGGTTTCCGAAGGAGCGAACGCGGAAGCTTGTAAGGAGGATGGAGCGGAGAGCCGGGTGGGATTGGCTCGGCTGGAGCTACTCGGATGGAAGCAGATGCAGGAGATACCTGCAGAAGCCCTCACCGCTCTTTCCGCCTCTCTCACTCACCTCACCATTGCCGACTGCCCCGCTCTCTCCTCCCTCCCTCCCGAGCTCTGCCATCTCCCCCACCTCGACTCCCTCACTCTCTCCTTCCTCCCACTCCTCACCTCCCTCCCTGCCTCCCTCCACCTCCTCTCCCACTCACTGCAGCATCTAGACATCACCTCGTGTGATTCTCTGCAGAGTCTCCCCGCGTCTCTCACCGCGCTCTCCGCCCTTCGCTCCTTAAATGTCTCCGCCTGTGGCGCCCTCGCCCGCCTGCCGTCCCCGCCTGCGGCGCTGCCGTCCGCTCGTGCTGCGCAGGGGGCAGGTGCGGGGAATGGGAGCAGCAGCAACACCACCACCTCTAGCAGCAGCAGCAGCAGCAGCAGCAGCGGCGGCGGCACCACCACCACCACCACCACTCAGGCGCCCCTCCACCTGCTGCCATCGCTCACCTGCCTGCGCATCACTCTCTGTGCGCGTCTCACCGCGCTGCCTCGCACCTGGATGCACCTGCCATCGCTGCGAAAGCTGATCGTGGACGGTAACGGCCTAATGGAATCACTCTTTGACGGGGATGACACTGTTCATAATGATACTGTTTATTATGACACTATTCAGTCTGACACTGCTCTTCCATTCCCCCCTCCTCTCCCCTCTCTCCACTCTCTCACTGTCTCCGACTGCCCTCGCATCTCCCGCCTCCCTCCTTTCCTCTCCCGCGCCTCCTCTCTCGTTCACTTGAAGCTGCATGGCCTCTCCGATCTCGCCCTGCTCCCGTTTCACACCACCCCTAATTCTGATGTAACGGGTGTGGCTCTAACGGGTACAGTTGTGGTAGCTGGCGCTGCTGCTGCTGCTTCCGGATCGGACACACTTGAATGGTTCGGTGGGATGATAGGATTGGTGTCGCTTCACATAGACTTGAAGCTCAACACACATATCACACACCTCCCTCACTCACTCTTTTCCCTCTCCTCCCTCGCCACACTCACTTTCTCACACCTCTCGCACGTCGCCTCCATCCCCCACTCCCTCTCCCTCCTCGCTCCCTCCCTCACTCACTTACACATCAGCCACTGCCCCCTGCTCACCGCCCTCCCTCCCTCCCTCTGCCGCCTCTCCTCCCTTCAATCCCTGGTCATCCAATCCTGTGCGTCCCTGAAATCTGTCTTGGAAGAAGGAGCAGGAGAGCCAGGAGAAGAGGGGGAGGGGGTGGGGAAGCAGAGATGGAGGGGAAGGGAAAGGGAGAAGTGGAAGAGGTCAAGAAGGTAGAGGATATGAAGCGGCATCATGGAATGAGTGCTATGCACTCGTTAGAAACAATCTTAATCACAGACTGTGACTCGCTGACACACCTTCCTTCAACCATCAGCCTGCTAACCCGTCTCGCCTCCCTCCACCTCTCTCAACTTTACAACCTCACTGCCTTGCCGCCCTCTCTTCCCTTCCTCCCCTCACTCACCTCCCTCACCCTCGCTGCATGTGATAGCCTCCCTTCCCTCCCTCCCAACTTTGGACTCTTCTCTAGCCTCCGAACCCTCAAACTTCTCGACCTGCTCAGTCTCACTGCCCTACCTGATTCTTTCGGGCAGCTTTCGCGCCTAGAGCAACTTACCCTGCATGACTGCTGCTTGTTGCGCTGCCTGCCTGCTTCAGTCACCCATCTTCCCCGATTAGCCAAGCTCAGAATCGTGAACTGCGGTAAACTTGAGCAGTTACCAGCACATCTAGGGTTACTTTCATCTCTAGAATGTTTAGAGCTGGTACTCCTATCCAAACTTTCTGAGCTGCCCGAGACAATGAGCCAGCTGCCGAGGCTTTGGAGAGTGGAGATTCGGGAATGCAACAGGTTGAAAGGCATTCCAGAGTGGTTAAGGGCGATGCCAGAGGTAGACCTTGTTTTATCATAACTAGCGTGCCCAGTATCATAAGCGACATATAAGGTATCATTACCTTGGGTTAGGAGGTATGTCGAAAGTCAGTCAGCCATAGTAATGTAAATCAAGGATGACTTCGGCTAGGTTACCATGGATCACTAGCAGTGGCTCGTTCAAGTCGGGTGGAGTTTGGAACAAGGTACAACCTCCCTTGCTTGCCTCAGATCTATTTTATTTTTTTTCCACCAGCTCAGCAGCTCGTAAATATTTGCACAGTAACACGAACAGAATGCCGTACCAGTTCTTACGATGTAGGGGATGCTACAGTATCGAGGAATAATTCGTCCCTGTGCTACACATTCCCCACGAACGAGTCCACGGTACTTGGGAGATTCAAATTCTCCATGGCTTCCGCGCCTCTTCTCAGCCCTCCGAGGCCTATACTCAGCACAACGTCGCAAGCAGACTCGTGCCCCTCGTCGACGTTGCACGCACGGCAGTTTTCGCAGTTCGCCTTCAGCGCTTGCCTACAACAGCAACGGTCAAACTGTCTCGGTAGCGCCGTGGTGCACCGTGGCTGTAATGGTGTTCGTTCTCAAGGAATTCGAGTACACTCAAATGCATTCAATATAGAAGCCTTGAAGGTACAGCGAGTGCGTTTACGAGGCACGGAGAAATGTGAAAACGGCGCGCGGATATTGCGCAACTCTACGCACCAGAGCTTGCGGAATGTCGAACCTTCGCGCCAGAGGTTGCGCACCATCTGTGCGGCGGAAGGGGAAGGGGGAGGCGGAACGGTTGCAGCAGCGGAGACTGCGCCGGCTGCGCGGAAGTGCGGAGGTGGAGTGAGCAGGCGCGCAACGAAAACGATCACCGCGAGTAAAGTTTCCGCCGAGGGGGACACCGCGCGCGCATTTGGTCCGCGGAGAAGCAGAGGCGGAGAAATTGGGGGAGGCGGGAGCGGGGAAGGCGGAGAGGCGGAAAGCGGGGACGCAATCAGCGCAACCTCCCCCCTTTCCCCCATTATTGCGGTTGACGAGTTTTTCTCCCTCCCCTCGCTCGCACTTCCCCCCGCTCCCCCCGGACGCGCGCTTGAATCCCTAGTGTTCATGCTGGCGGAAGCGGGGAAGGCGGAGGACGAGGAGGAATGGGGGGAAGAGGCGGAAGATTGGGGGGAGATCGACTGGGGGGAACAAGGGGAGTGGAACACGGGAGGGGGAGGACAAACGCAGGGGCGCGGAATCGAAGTTTTCTGGGCCTCAGATGTTAAAATCTTGCGGGGGAATGATGAAATGTTATCTTCCGCCTCCTCTTCCGCCTCCTCCTCCCCCTCGCCCCCCACTTCCGCCTCTTCCGCCTCTTCCGCCCCCCTCCCTTCCCCTCCCCCCCATCTGATCCTCTCTCACCTCCGCTCCGCCGCTCTTGCGCCCTGCGTGCTCCTCCCCGCCGCCCCTGCCCCCCCTGGTCCGGGGGAAGGGGGGGAAGAGGGAGGCGGAGGGGCGGATGGGAGAAGCGCGCGAGCAGAGAGGGAGGCACAAGGGTCGGGGGCAGCGCAGGTTCGGGTGGTGGCTGGGCGGTTCAGGGACGTTTGCACTCCTCCGCCCCTCTCACACTTTGTCAGTCCTCTCTCTTTCTCACTCCCTCTCTCAATTGTTTTTTTCCCTCTCTCACTCTATCACTCCATTCTCATGTTATCACTACCTGAGAGCCAATGTCGCTTTATCGCTCCCTCCCTCACTATCCGTCCCTCTCTCACTTCACTCCTTCCCGCACTTGCCACTCCCTCTCTTTCGTGGCACTCTTTCTCTCGCTTCCTTACTCTCCTGTCCTCTTCTCTCTAGCTCACCGCGCTCCTGCCCTTTAATCTAACGTCCCCTGCCATGCCCACATTTCTCAATCCCCCTCCAGTCCCCGCAACTCCTTGCAATTTCGCTTCCTTACTCTCCTGTCCTCTTCGCTCTTGCCCACCGCGCTCCTGCCCTTTAATCTAACGTCCCCTGCCATGCCCATATTTCTCAATCCCCCTCCACTCCCCGCAACTCCTTTCCGCTTCCCTTGCAAGTTCGCACTCCCCTTTTCTTACCCTTTCTGTTTCTCTTTCCCCTGCCCCACCAACTCTTTCCCTTCCCCATTTACCCACTCCCCTTCCACCTCTTCATTATCCCTGAGTTACTCCCTGCCTTCCCCTTTCACCCTCTTCCCTTCCACCCCCCTCATTATCCCTGAGTTACTCCCTCCCTTTCCTTTTTACCCACTTCCCTTCTACCCCCCTCATTATCCCTGAGTTACTCCCTCCCTTCCCCTTTCCGTTCCACCCACTGTCAGCTCATGCTACACGTGTACATGCGGCCAGGGACAGCTGTCAACATCCCATTGGCCCTTCTTCCTTGCTCCAGTTCTCTCCAGTCTTCCCTCCCTGCCTGAAACCCTCCCTCCCCCCTTCCCTTTCCCCCCATCCCTCCCCACCCCACCAACCCCCAGCTCATGCTGCACGTGTACATGCGGCCAGGGACAGCTGTCAACATCCCATTGGCCCGCACTCAGTCCGCCCTCATATACGTCCTAGAGGTGGGCTGCCTCTGGCTGGCTTGTACGGCTGAACTTACAAAATGTATTCGTAAGTGACAGCTGTCAACAGCCCATTGGCGCCCACTCAGTTCGCCCTCAATACGTCCTAGAGGTGGGCTGGCCTACATTGCATGTCTGAAATTGAGAGTTTATTTGGCTACGTGAGTTCTGAGTGCGAAGCTGTTTTGCCTGCGTCTGTTTGCCTGTGTGTGGTGACGTGTATGTGCGTGTGATTGCATGCTCATGCATGTGGCATGCCACTCGTACCTGACTTCCTACTTCCATCTTTTGTTTCTTAGAGAGTTCTCATACCAGGCCGACAAGTTCTGTGTGCCATCTCTCCAATAAACCACTGTCACAATTGGAATTTTTTCTGCCTTGGGCCAATCCTGTTCACGCCCCCTTTTTTGCTTCTTTGCTGCTGCTTGTCCTTACTGCTACCCATCCCCGCTACCCGCAACTCCTTTGAGTCAATCACAATGCCAACCTTACTGTTGTCTGCCCCCCACCCACTCGCACGCGTGCTGTCCGTTCCACCAACACCTCGTACCCATTCACAGGGCGTGGCGATGTTTGGACCGCGAGGAGAGGCCGTGTTTCAAAACGAGGGGCACTCCCTGCTCTTCCCTGCAGCACCAAGTGCCACGTCAGGTGCTGCATCAGAGATGAATAAGGAATCAGATTCCACAGAGGGTGGTGCAGCAGGCATGGCCACAGGGGAGGATGAGGATGATTGGATTCGAGTGGAATCACACAGTTGGGGCGGAGTAGAGTTTGTTCTCGTGGCTGGCCAATGCTAGCGAATTGAAGGTACGGTGCTGTTTCAGATGTGTTGTGACATGGATTGCGCCACTCAGTTGAAGTTATCATATGATTGAAGCTGCATGCACGATAAGTATTGTGAATAATGTGAATGTTCTCAGAAATGAACGTGAATAGTATTTTTACTTGAATTTCAGAAAGCACTCAATGGCATCGATCTGAATAATGTGCTCGCAGTATATCTCCAAAACGTCATTCAACCACAGCATTATAGTTATTTTATTATTTCGTTCTCTCTCTTACGCAGAGGATTTCTTACAGAAGCGAAGATGCCTGTAAGTCCACACGGATATTTGAAAACTCGAATTTCAAAATTGCGCCACGACTTCTAAATCTACTCATCTGCCATACCGTAGACTTTCTCGACTGCTCTCAAAAGTCGACGTTCCTCGCTTTCAGGTCATTAGGGCGCGTGTCTTTTGGGGTTGTGCTCAAACTTCTGATCGAGTTTCCACTGGTTACTGGATTCGCAAAAGTCGTGAAATTGCGTCGCGAATGCCGTCAACAACTGCTAGAACGCTGGACACAAACATGCACGTTGAGCAGAGCTCGAGCGGAAAGTTGAATGGTCATGCGTGAAACTTGTCGAACGTGTGCACATTTGCACATGTTCAGTACGAATGCGAAAATAGGCGAAATGCCTAAAACACTTCGCACGCACAACCGAGGTGGTCTTACTCGTGCAGAAGTCGCCAGCCGAATATGAAGTATATCGGGTAGCCTACGATTTAGGGTAGCGACTCGGTTCATGTTTTACAGGCTCGAACTTCGATACTCGACTTTTTGCAGAGGAGAGTGATTGATGTGGGAGGTGGACACGCGACCCGAGTTGTCAAGTTGAAATTATCGAGTGCAGCTCGAGCAGTGTTCACATTATCTAGCCTTAGATCTAGGCTAAATCGTACAGTTTCGCTCCCTCCGTGGGCAAGTCATTTTGAATAGGGAGCCGTGGCGACGAACGGCGTTAGAGGCCCGAGTTTCCCCGCCGTCGCCATGCCGGCCGTGTTCGAACCGACGGGCTGTTACAAGTGCGGCCGGCCCGGTCACTGGTCCAAGGACTGCAGTTTCGCCGCCAATGACGGCCGCGCCGCGGAAAATCGCAACACCGAACCGCGCGACTCCGCGGCCCGCTTTCCGCCCAGTAACGCGTCGAACAACCATAACGCGTCCCCCAATCAGCGACCTTTCGCCGGTTCAGCCACCCCGCAGGGAAAGCGGCCATATAACGGCTTTTCCAACGGACCAGGCGCGAACACGCAGCGTGCGGGGGTGGACGGCGCCGACGGGGTCGATCCGCTCAACCAAAACGCGCCAGCGGCGGCGGCGGCGGCGGCGGCGGCGGCGGCGGCGGCGGTGGGGTCGAAGGTGACGCGGAAGCGGCCGAAGCTGACTCCGATGATGCTGCTGTCGGATGAAGGGCTTCCTTACGTGCTGAAGGAGCTGCCGAAGCAGATCAAGCTTCGGGGCAAAGGACACGAGGTGAGTGAAACTGGGGCCCGGTGTGTTTGTGTCGATTGGAAACTGTCACCTCGGGATTGCCGTGAGTGCGACGATGCTGCTGTCGGACGAGGGGCTTCCGTACGTGCTGAAGGAGCTGCCGACGCAGATCAAGCTGCGGGGGAAGGGACACGAGGTGAGTGGGAGCTTTCTCAGCAGTGTACTGTGTAGATTGAAACCTCGCCTCGGGATTGCCGCGACTCGGACGATGCTGCTGTCGGACGAAGGGCTTCCTTACGTGCTGAAAGAGCTGCCGACGCAGATCAAGCTGCGCGGCAAGGGACACGAGGTGAGGTTGCGAGGTGGGAACCGGCGTCGATAGAACTACTCTCTTCTGCGAAGAACATAATGAAGCCACGGTTTTCTTCGAAACTTTCGTTAGAACGCGTCAAAAGCACAAGCGCGTGCATGCTCTCCGCGCCCGAATCATCGTCATCAGTAGCATCCGCGCATCCGCGTCTGCATAATATGTGTGTGCGTGTGCGTGCTCGTGTGCGTGTGCGTGTGCGTGCATTGGGCTCTGACAGGTGGGGGACCTGCGAAGGATCCTGGAAGGATACGTGGGGTGGCACAAGCGATTCTTCCCGGCGCTTTCCTTCCCCGAGTTCATCGAGAAGGTGGAGAAGCTCGGCAACACGCGCAGCGTCAGGGTGAGTCCGAAGCTGCCCTAACATCCCAGCTTGGTCATCCCAGCTCTCCCTTTCAAGCTTCTTCCCTCCGCTCTCCTTCCCCGAGTTCATCGAGAAGGTGGTGAAGCTCGGCAACATGAGAAGCGTCAGGGTGAGTGCACGCAGCGTCAGGGTGAGTGCACGCAGCGTCAGGGTGAGTGCACGCAGCGTCAGGGTGAGTGCACGCAGCGTCAGGGTGAGTGCACGCAGCGTCAGGGTGAGTGCACGCAGCATCAGGGTGAGTGCACGCAGCATCAGGTGAGTGCACCCAGCATCAGGTGAGTGCACGCAGCGTCAGGGTGAGTGCACGCAGCGTCAGGGTGAGTGCACGCAGCATCAGGGTGAGTGCACGCAGCATCAGGTGAGTGCACGCAGCATCAGGTGAGTGCACGCAGCGTCAGGGTGAGTGCACGCAGCGTCAGGTGAGTGCACGCAGCATCAGGTGAGTGCACGCAGCATCAGGTGAGTGCACGCAGCATCAGGTGAGTGCACGCAGCATCAGGTGAGTGCACGCAGCATCAGGTGAGTGCACGCAGCATCAGGTGAGTGCACGCAGCATTAGGTGAGTGCACGCAGCATCAGGGTGAGTGCACGCAGCGTCAGGGTGAGTGCACGCAGCTTCAGGTGAGTGCACGCAGCATCAGGTGAGTGCACGCAGCATCAGGTGAGTGCACGCAGCGTCAGGGTGAGTGCACGCAGCATCAGGTGAGTGCACGCAGCGTCAGGGTGAGTGCACGCAGCATCATGTGAGTGCACGCAGCATCAGGTGAGTGCACGCAGCATCAGGTGAGTGCACGCAGCATCAGGTGAGTGCACGCAGCATCAGGTGAGTGCACGCAGCATCAGGTGAGTGCACGCAGCATCAGGTGAGTGCACGCAGCATCAGGTGAGTGCACGCAGCATCAGGTGAGTGCACGCAGCATCAGGTGAGTGCACGCAGCATCAGGTGAGTGCACGCAGCATCAGGTGAGTGCACGCAGCATCAGGTGAGTGCACGCAGCATCAGATGAGTGCACGCAGCGTCAGGGTGAGTGCACGCAGCATCACGTGAGTGCACGCAGCATCAGGTGAGTGCACGCAGCATCAGGTGAGTGCACGCAGCATCAGGTGAGTGCACGCAGCATCAGGTGAGTACACGCAGCGTCAGGGTGAGTGCACGCAGCATCAGGTGAGTGCACGCAGCGTCAGGGTTAGTGCACGCAGCGTCAGGGTGAGTGCACGCAGCATCAGGTGAGTGCACGCAGCATCAGGTGAGTGCACGCAGCATCAGGTGAGTGCACGCAGCATCAGGTGAGTACACGCAGCATCAGGTGAGTGCACGCAGCATCAGGTGAGTGCACGCAGCATCAGGTGAGTGCACGCAGCATCAGGTGAGTGCACGCAGCATCAGGTGAGTGCACGCAGCATCAGGTGAGTGCACGCAGCATCAGGTGAGTGCACGCAGCATCAGGTGAGTGCACGCAGCATCAGGTGAATGCACGCAGCATCAGGTGAGTGCACGCAGCATCAGGTGAGTGCACGCAGCATCAGGGTGAGTGCACGCAGCGTCAGGGTGAGTGCACGCAGCGTCAGGGTGAGTGCACGCAGCGTCAGGGTGAGTGCACGCAGCATCGGGTGAGTGCACGCAGCATCAGGTGAGTGCATGCAGCATCAGGTGAGTGCACGCAGCGTCAGGTGAGTGCACGCAGCGTCAGGGTGAGTGCACGCAGCGTCAGGGTGAGTGCACGCAGCATCAGGTGAGTGCACGCAGCATCAGGGTGAGTGCACGCAGCATCAGGTGAGTGCACGCAGCATCAGGTGAGTGCACGCAGCATCAGGTGGGTGCACGCAGCATCAGGTGAGTGCACGCAGCATCAGGTGAGTGCACGCAGCATCAGATGAGTGCACGCAGCGTCAGGGTGAGTGCACGCAGCATCAGGTGAGTGCACGCAGCATCAGGTGAGTGCACGCAGCATCAGGTGAGTGCACGCAGCATCAGGTGAGTGCACGCAGCATCAGGTGAGTACACGCAGCGTCAGGGTGAGTGCACGCAGCATCAGGTGAGTGCACGCAGCGTCAGGGTGAGTGCACGCAGCATCAGGTGAGTGCACGCAGCATCAGGTGAGTGCACGCAGCATCAGGTGAGTGCACGCAGCATCAGGTGAGTGCACGCAGCATCAGGTGAGTGCACGCAGCATCAGGTGAGTGCACGCAGCATCAGGTGAGTGCACGCAGCATCAGGTGAGTGCACGCAGCATCAGGTGAGTGCACGCAGCATCAGGTGAGTGCACGCAGCATCAGGTGAGTGCACGCAGCATCAGGTGAGTGCACGCAGCATCAGGTGAGTGCACGCAGCATCAGGTGAGTGCACGCAGCATCAGGTGAGTGCACGCAGCATCAGGGTGAGTGCACGCAGCGTCAGGGTGAGTGCACGCAGCGTCAGGGTGAGTGCACGCAGCATCAGGGTGAGTGCACGCAGCATCAGGTGAGTGCACGCAGCATCAGGTGAGTGCACGCAGCGTCAGGGTGAGTGCACGCAGCGTCAGGTGAGTGCACGCAGCGTCAGGGTGAGTGCACGCAGCATCAGGTGAGTGCACGCAGCATCAGGTGAGTGCACGCAGCATCAGGGTGAGTGCACGCAGCATCAGGTGAGTGCACGCAGCATCAGGTGAGTGCACGCAGCATCAGGTGAGTGCACGCAGCATCAGGTGAGTGCACGCAGCATCAGGTGAGTGCACGCAGCATCAGGTGAGTGCACGCAGCATCAGGTGAGTGCACGCAGCATCAGGTGAGTGCACGCAGCATCAGGGTGAGTGCACGCAGCGTCAGGGTGAGTGCACGCAGCGTCAGGGTGAGTGCACGCAGCATCAGGTGAGTGCACGCAGCATCAGGTGAGTGCACGCAGCATCAGGTGAGTGCACGCAGCATCAGGTGAGTGCACGCAGCGTCAGGGTGAGTGCACGCAGCATCAGGGTGAGTGCACGCAGCATCAGGTGAGTGCACGCAGCATCAGGTGAGTGCACGCAGCGTCAGGGTGAGTGCACGCAGCTTCAGGTGAGTGCACGCAGCATCAGGTGAGTGCACGCAGCATCAGGTGAGTGCACGCAGCATCAGGGTGAGTGCACGCAGCGTCAGGGTGAGTGCACGCAGCGTCAGGGTGAGTGCACGCAGCATCAGGTGAGTGCACGCAGCATCAGGGTGAGTGCACGCAGCATCAGGTGAGTGCACGCAGCGTCAGGGTGAGTGCACGCAGCATCAGGTGAGTGCACGCAGCATCAGGTGAGTGCACGCAGCATCAGGTGAGTGCACGCAGCATCAGGTGAGTGCACGCAGCATCAGGGTGAGTGCACGCAGCATCAGGTGAGTGCACGCAGCATCAGGTGAGTGCACGCAGCATCAGGGTGAGTGCACGCAGCATCAGGGTGAGTGCACGCAGCATCAGGTGAGTGCACGCAGCATCAGGTAAGTGCACGCAGCATCAGGGTGAGTGCACGCAGCGTCAGGTGAGTGCACGCAGCGTCAGGGTGAGTGCACGCAGCGTCAGGGTGAGTGCACGCAGCGTCAGGGTGAGTGCACGCAGCATCAGGTGAGTGCACGCAGCATCAGGGTGAGTGCACGCAGCATCAGGTGAGTGCACGCAGCATCAGGTGAGTGCACGCAGCATCAGGTAAGTGCACGCAGCATCAGGGTGAGTGCACGCAGCGTCAGGTGAGTGCACGCAGCGTCAGGGTGAGTGCACGCAGCGTCAGGGTGAGTGCACGCAGCATCAGGTGAGTGCACGCAGCATCAGGGTGAGTGCACGCAGCATCAGGTGAGTGCACGCAGCATCAGGTGAGTGCACGCAGCATCAGGTGAGTGCACGCAGCATCAGGTGAGTGCACGCAGCATCAGGTGAGTGCACGCAGCATCAGGGTGAGTGCACGCAGCATCAGGGTGAGTGCACGCAGCATCAGGGTGAGTGCACGCAGCATCAGGTGAGTGCACGCAGCATCAGGTAAGTGCACGCAGCATCAGGGTGAGTGCACGCAGCGTCAGGTGAGTGCACGCAGCGTCAGGGTGAGTGCACGCAGCGTCAGGGTGAGTGCACGCAGCATCAGGTGAGTGCACGCAGCATCAGGGTGAGTGCACGCAGCGTCAGGGTGAGTGCACGCAGCGTCAGGGTGAGTGCACGCAGCATCAGGTGAGTGCACGCAGCATCAGGGTGAGTGCACGCAGCATCAGGTGAGTGCACGCAGCGTCAGGGTGAGTGCACGCAGCGTCAGGTGAGTGCACGCAGCATCAGGTGAGTGCACGCAGCATCAGGTGAGTGCACGCAGCATCAGGTGAGTGCACGCAGCATCAGGGTGAGTGCACGCAGCATCAGGTGAGTGCACGCAGCATCAGGTGAGTGCACGCAGCATCAGGTGAGTGCACGCAGCATCAGGGTGAGTGCACGCAGCATCAGGGTGAGTGCACGCAGCATCAGGTGAGTGCACGCAGCATCAGGTAAGTGCACGCAGCATCAGGGTGAGTGCACGCAGCGTCAGGTGAGTGCACGCAGCGTCAGGGTGAGTGCACGCAGCGTCAGGGTGAGTGCACGCAGCATCAGGTGAGTGCACGCAGCATCAGGGTGAGTGCACGCAGCATCAGGTGAGTGCACGCAGCATCAGGTGAGTGCACGCAGCATCAGGTAAGT